ATCACTTTACGCTGGGGGCCAAGTTTCCAGCACAAGACTTTTCAGGGGACACACTCAAATCATGTGAGGCAGACACGTGGGGTGTGGAGGGCATCTCAGACACCCAGAACAGGAAAAGTCCACGTGGGAGGAAGAACTGGCAGGTGCCTTGGTGGAGAAATAATGAGTGCTATCACTATAGCAGCAGAAAGCTATTAAGATCTGGAACGAAGGTACCTGGGTTCAAATACCAGCTCTGCTTCTTGCTAGCTAGGGGCCCTGGGGAAAATTTCCTAACACAAGCAACTGTTTTATCAGCTGCAAATACAGAAACTGACACCAATGCCTTCCTCAAAATTTTGTCTTAGGGATTAAATGAAATTACCCATGCAAGTGCCTGATAAATGTGCAAACCAGCCAGCTATTACAAAGACACTTGGGAAATGGGACCCTGCAGAATGGAATGTGCCAGACCTGGTGACTGGTGAATTTGTTGATGAACAAGAAGAGAATCACTGATAATTAACTCAACATTTTAACTCATTCATCTCCCAAAACATAAAGGTGCTCACACACACACACACACACACACACACACACAAACACTAACATGGCCATTCCATTCTTCAGAGGATAATCCAACAAGATAAAGCCTTAGGGAAAAAAAGAGACTAGGAATTTTGTCTCCAACACTGGAAGTATTGGAAGAATACTGATGTGACTGCTTAGAAGTTGAACATTTGAGTCTTGAACTGTAGAAATGGCAGAATTACGGATATAGTTTCAAGGGTTATTCACACTGACATGATAGTGACAGTTGAATCAGAACCAAGAGTTGAGTGGCACCTGCCTATAATCACAACACTCTGGGAGGCTGAGGTAGGAGAATCACAAATTAGAGCTCGGCCTTGGCAATTTAGCGAGACCCTGACTCAAGATAAAAACAAACAAACAAACAAACAAAAGGAGTTGGGGGCTATCTTAGCAGGAGGAGCCTGGGTTCAATCCCCAGAACCATTAAAGAGAAAAAAATCAGTAGTAAGATGAAAGCCACAAGTGCAAAGGTTCAGAGGAAAAGAGCCGATCCAAAACCTGAAACAAAACAAATAAACACCCCAACCCCAACACTGGTAAAGCCTGCTTGTACACGGAAGACAGCTTTGGGTTATAAGGAAGGAGAAGAGTTGTTGTAACCCTAGGCAAGGAGTTCAGTCATGGCGGTGTCCCGGAAACCTGTGGTTTCTAAGGAGACCATTCCCCAGTGCCAAACACAAAGTTCATCAGGAACAGGACCGGGGGCAGTGGCTGGTTTGGGTATTAAGAAGTAATTTAAGACACAGGGCTAAAGTCTAGGCAGTGTGTTCTAAATGGAAATCTGGGAGTTGTCCGTATACGAGTAGAAATTAGACATGCAAGTGAAATTAACGAAAGAAAAGAGAACCATGAATGATGACAGCAAAGCATCTTGGGAATTAATCACCATGCACACGAGGAGGTGAGGAAACCCAGAAGCCATGAAAAGCCATCAGGTTTGGGGACCAGGGAGAGCCGCAGAATAGAATGGCTCACCTCTGAGATGTACATTTATGAACGAAAAACCTTGTGAGTGTATATGTAATTTGTGCAAAAGGGCTTGAGCCACAGTGAGCTCAGTCCCTTGGGAACTGCATTATCAAACCCACTATCTGATGTGAGGAACCAAAAGCTGAGCAATTAAGTTACATCAGAGTGATGTGCACCCACAGTAAAGAATCAAGAGCTGGGTGTGCTCAATTCCAGCTGAAATCCACAAGTCTCATTAGATAGACGAGCCTCGAAAATGCTCAGCTAGATGCTAAATGCAAAACTAGACACATCCTTCCCCACCAAGCATAAATCCCACCTCAGGGGTGAGATTTACTTCAGTGCAGTATGCTTCCTGGGGAATACCATTCTGTCATAAACTGTTCTGGGGAAACTGCCTGTAAATTTTAGATGCGCTGGCTTACATTTTCTTGTCGTTTAAAGGCAAGATGCTAAATTCACTGTTTAAGGAAAGCCTCAGAGAGCACTGCAGAGTTCTGGCATAGCTGGTGTGGCTTGTTCCTACAGATGTCTTTCTCAGATGCATGTTTACTGTTAACAAGCGGACAGCCGGGAAGTCTGGCCCAGGCTGTCTGGGGGCTGATAAGCAAAGTCTGATGAGCTCATGGGCAGGGCCGCAGTGACAGATGCATGTGAGCGGTGACCTTCAGATTCCTGCATGGCCATGCTCACACTGCAGATGTATGTGAGAATGGAGACCCCTAAACCCATCTTTCGGCTTGGTTTAGTCTACAGCAACCAGTCTTTCCTTTGTTCTCTATTTCTGCTCTTCACCATGAGCAAAGGGCTTTACAGCTGGGCTACAGGCAGGGCTCAACAAAACTTCTGCCCTTCCCTGGCAATGCAGGCATATTTGTGGGAGAGGACAGAGAATCCTAACTTCCAGAGCCAAAAGGTGAGGCCAAAGGAATCCCGTGTGTCTAAATGTCTCCAATCTGTGAAGAGGGCCGAGTCATGCTTTCTATTTAGCTGTCCATATTCTTTTTTTTTTTTTTTTTTGGTTGTCCATATTCTTCACTGACACACAGGGCTTCTCTGCTGGGTGGATGGTGACACATATTATGCCCTCGTTTGGAGACGATGGCTGGTTTTCTCACAGGGACAACTGGTATCTAAAGTGGACTGTGGAGAACTCAGAGAGTGATTGCTCTTGCTTCATCTAGGAGTAAAAACAGAACCGCTCTGCTGAAACACATCGCCAAAGCTCTGCCTTCTAAAAGGCTCTGTGCATGTGGCTAACATCTGATGCTCCTGCCCTCACGGCAAGTCCTTATTAGGCACTTAGGCCTTGTTAGGCTTCAGAGTTAAAACAGGTGTCCTCTCCAGCCACAAACAGGCTTGCAACAGCAACTGTGGGACGGTGCTGGCTGGGGAAAGGCTTTGCATCACAGAAACAATTGCGAGCATGATGGAACCACAGTTCAAAACAAAGGCATTCACGGGGGCAAAGACTCTTATGAATGCTGCCTAGAACAAGCATAACAGTGCAATAAAAGCAAAGCGTCTCATACCGTCTGTCCACGCTCCGTGATTGGCACGGCTCAGTCTGTCTTTATGTGGCTCTGGTTTACATTTGAAGTGTTAACTGGCTAAAAGCAAACCTCAAAATCCTAGATCTTTCCAATGAGCACACCAGCCTTCCACCCTGATCACACATCATTTTAGACATTAAAATAAAGTTGAGAACATAAGAGGTCTTCTCTTCTGAAAGTATAGGCTCTGGTTCTACTACGTCATCACTCCCGTTCCAATCCAAAATTTCACAGAAATTCTCCCAGCACATTCGGCTGGAGCCTCAGATTTTTTTCTTGGTTTTAAATTCACAGACCTTGTATGGAAGAACCATGGACTCCCAAAAGGTCTACTACCTAATTTCCTGGATCTGTGACTATGTTAGATTACATGGAAAAGAGATTAAGGTTGCTAATCAGCTGGCTTTAAATTAAGGAGATTTTTTTTTCTTCTGGACTATAGGGGTAGGCCCACTGTGGGTGTTTAAAAGTGGACAACAGGAGGTTAGAAACAAAACAACAGAAACAGGGTCAGAGGGATGCTATTTTTTCCTGAGTTTGAAGACAGAGGAAGAGGCCTTACGAATCAGTGTATGTAACTTCTAGAAGATGGGGAAAAATAAAAATGAGAAATAGATTCTCTCCAGAGCCTCCAGAAAAGAGTTCTCCCTACAGATCTCAGAGTAGTGAGACGCCTGTCTGTCTACAGACTCCAGAACTGTAGAATTGTTCATCTGTGGTATTTTAAGCCACTAAATTCGCCATAATTTGTTATAACAGCAACAGAAAACTAATACGTGCTGTCAGAAAATAAAAAGCACCTCACTCGGGAATAACACTGTAACCCAGGACCGAATAGAGTCTGGTTTCTTTGGTGGTAAAATTTAGCCATTTATTTTTTTCTACTTGAACTCTAGCATCCAACTGATGCTAATCCATACAAAAATGTGTGCACACTGGGCCGGGGATTTAGCTCAGTGGTTCCGCCACCTGCCTCACAAGCACAAGGTCCTGAGTTCAATCCCTGGTACCAAAACAACAACAAAAAAATGTGTGCAGAGCTGAGAGACTGATCTTGATCTTGTATCTCCCCTCCCATTCTGACTTCAGAGGAATGTAGCATTATTATTAGAAACTCAATCCCTTTCTAGGGGACCTGCACTAATATGATTTTAAAGGCTACTTTTTTTAGTTCCCTTGTTCTTTTTCCTTCAAAACAGCTCTGTGAATGTTTGGATAATCTCCTGAGTTGACCTAAATCTAGAGCATTTCAGCCCCCAAATCACACAGATGTTTGTACTCTGAACATGGGTCAGGGATGATTTGATAATAGTTAACACAGCACAGTCCTGGATTAGAAGGTGAGTTATTGAACGAGAATGCTAATGTAAGAACATGAATAGATTTTTCCATGCAACTTGTGCACTGTTGGTTTGTTTGTATGCTACCTTTGTTTTCATTAGAGAAAAAAAATGGCAAGAGAGCCTCTGAGTAAGTTCATGTATTATGGACTCAAGTTCAGGATCTTTTTTGTGAAGATTTTCAGAATCTCCTTGGAGGGAGAATATATCTAAGCTCTACACTTAGGGTGTGGGGACGCAGCTCAGTGGTAGAGCACTTGCCTAAAACGTGGGAGCCCCTGCACTGCCAACCAACCAACCAATCGACCAATCATTCAATTAATCAATCCATCCCCAAGCTTAATGATGAATCAAAGTGCATCCAGCCTCATTTTAATCCCTTTGCTCCTAATGACCAGGAAACATTATTTCTCTACCAAAGGACAGACAATGAGTCACTAGACAGAAAAAATTGTGAGAAACAGAGTTGTAAGCAGGAGACGGTTGGGGTGGGCTGGGACTACTTGGGAAACAGGAACGAGGAGAGGGATGGTGGGAAAGGGAAAAACAGAACAGCAATGCTTACCCTCAGGTCTCCATTCACAGTTTTTGATGTGTGATTAAATGCATGCGAAGGATCCTTGTTGTACACTTTGAGGAGAGATCTGTCCTGAATATTCCTGGAATCAAAAACATCAATAACTATGGCAGACGAAAGAAGTCTGACTTTGGCCATTTCCTCTGTCTGCTCTTATGGACCAGGTAAAAAACACACACAGACAACCAGCAACTTTTTACCATAAACCAGACAAAAGTCCTTTCACCACACAGTAGTCAGATATAAAGAAGAGAAAGAGGAAGAAAAATGACTTCAGCTTTTCTTTCCTTGTCTCGTTCCTCAGGAAAGTGTTATTCTTTCAGTGTAGCTCTCCACCCATAAATATCAGGTAACAGGGACTTTCTTTCAAGATTCTGAGCATGGAAAACCAATGCTTTCAAAAACAATAAAGCTCCAACATTTACAATATGTTCAAAGAGATTCAGTTAATATTTAAATATTTAATTGTTTGCTTTGCCCAAACACCTGGTTTGCTGCTTATCTAATGAATGTGTGTGGGGCGGTGCGCACACACACACAGCTCTCTCTCTGCCTTTCTATATGCTCAACAAAAGAAACACAATGTATATGAGTCTAGGGGGAAAGAAGTACTGCAGAGATCAAAACTACTATCTTTGCAATGCTTTTCTCCCCTTCTACAGTGGGTTTTTAAAAATACTTTTCTACATACAAAATGAATTACGGGATGTAAAGAAATAGCAGCAAATACATTCTTTTCTCCCTTTGAACCCAGCTCCTATGACCAATGAATCATACTGCAGTAAAAGACAGAAGTCCCACAACTTGCTCAAAGCCTACCTTAAAATTATTTCAGAGCACACGAGTGTCAACAAAGCGGTTCTCCCTCTCCAGGAGCTTAGGAGGGACCCGGTGCCCTGCCAGCCCCATCTGTGCTGTGATTCGTTCAAGTGCCGGCTGTAGAGAGCTGTGTGGGAGAGGTAATGCCCTCTCCCACGTGCAGCTGCACAGCAGTGGGCAGACCCCAATCTCGGGGACTACCGTGTGTGTCTTTGTTTTAAATGAAGCAGGGGATTCTTCCACTAGTCTTGTTTCTCTTTGAAACACCCCTCAGCCATTGCTTTGAAGCCACGACTAGCCCAAGCTTGTACGGTTTCTCCACATTTCAGGCACCTCATTAGAAGTTGGCTGGAGGGGAGCATGCTGCTCTCAGTGTTAAAAGGGGCTGGGCTAATAAGAAGGGAGAGTCCCAAAGGTAAGGAAGGGGTTCCCTAAAGGAGCTCCCCCTTGGGGTATGACTCTGTGGAGAAACTGAAAACCTCACTTAAACCATGAAAAAAACTAACTGCCATGGTGAAGGTATTTAAAAATACATGAATTTGGTTTATGATTAATTTAGAAATGCGTTCATCTGAGATGAACCAACAGTAAAAGGACAGGTTGCACCCACTGTGGCAATGTTTACAGCACGGCACTCCAACGTGAACACGGGGCACGATTTCCCAAGGAAACATGCCCAGACTAACGTAAGGAGCACAGCACTGCCACGGCAACAAGGCTGAAGGACAGGAAGAAAATCTGCCACCAAGTTTAGAAGATTAAGGTCATTGTCTTCAGTTAAAACCTACTATTTTGTTTTATATAATACTAGTGAAAATTTTTTCCACCATTCCCAAACTATACATAATTGAATCATCTTGTTTAAAAGCAAAAACCAGAATATTTAAGGATATGTATAATCATTTACCATAAACATATTCATTACTAAATGAAAACATTTTTTCCACTTGAACACTGTAGATATTTTAATATTTAAATCAAAGCAACTAAAAAGTAAAATTGTAAATTAATGACTTTCCATTTAAGCATTTTAAATACGACTTTTTAAAAAATCAGGTAGTCAGTACCGCAGCGTAACGATCAACAAGCTTATCATCTTCACAAACATAAACACACGCGCATAACAGGGTTATTAGGGTTTGAAGCGATCACCCCCAGAGTGCTGTTTTCATCTACTTTATCCACTAGATTTTGATGAAGGAAGAGCCTCACAGCCTCTTTCCTACTGTCCTCCTCCTCCCAAGCCTCTTTGCGTCTTTCTCAGAGAATGTGACACGGGAATCTACGGAGTTGCAGTCCGAGGCTTGGGGAGGCCCTTAGAAGACAGTAGCTCACTGCAATATGAAATTGCGTACAAGGCTGCAAGAGTGAGGGCCAGTTGTTCACAACAACCCTGTCAGCCTTCAGCTCCGTGACCCAGAGTGGCTTTGCTCAGTTTCACGGTTATTTCCTATTACTACGTCCCTCAGCGCCTCTAACCGTAAATGTAGGAATATAAATTGACTGCTGTAAAATGGCACATCCATGTAAAAATGCTACATGGGATTATATTACCATAAACATACTCTTCAAATATAATGTGATTATTTGGGGTTTAAGTTTACACTTTGTAAATTTTTTAAAAATTTTGGTGACAGGTTGATTAATAATTTATTTCAAAACAAGTATGAATTTCCTGATTCTCATGAATATTTAAACTCGCTTTTATAGAGCAGGAAGTTGTGCAACAGATGTGACACCTATACCTTAGGGCGTGTGTCAGACACTAAAGCCCTAAATTACTCATAGGCCTCGGCACATGCCTCAATATGTCACTTGTGATTGTTGTTAGATATTTATCAGTTGTCACTTATTATACTCTAGAGGCACATTTTTAGAAAGTGATAGTCATTCTTTCCATGATGGAGAAACAGGAGAGCTTGCTGTCCCCATGGGGCAGAAACCCCAAAATCTACCCCAGTGATTTGACTCAGCATTTGAATAGTGAAGTTTGGGGCCCGTAATTGGCTGTGTGCTTTTCTGCTTCTAGGAAGTAAAAGGCTGGATGAGTTACTAAATAATCTTTCAAGTTCTAAAATATCTGGAGGCTGTGCTAGCGACTGCTTGTTTGTGTTGATTTAAATCCTGTTTGTCAGGCTGTTTGGCTGGGACCATTCAAATGGGTCCCTTCTGCCCTGTAGGCAGTGACCACTGCAGTCCGTAACAATGCTTTTGCTTCCTTGGCACTTGCGGTAGGTAGCATGAGACTCTTTGGCCTAGTTTTAGAATACACTCAGCCAGAAGTCCTGGAGAAAGCCCACCTCCAAGGAGAGGCACTTGAGTAAAGACAGCTCTTTAGGAAGTAAACGGACAGTGAGAATGTGTCTCAGCCTCCTGGGAGGAATAACACCAAATCTGCTGAATTTATCGGGTATTGAGAATGATCCAGTAGGATCATTACCTAAGACATCCACAGGCACTGGCAGTAGGGAAAGTTTGCTTTCAACTCTTCTTTCCTTCTCTACCACCTCCCTGGGCCTTGGTTTCCCTAACTTTTACATAAGATGGTGGGCTAGATTATTTCTTAGGTTCCTGACACTGGAAGATCTGATGTAACATTCCAAGATCTACAGGGATGAAATATGCCCTTACTTTTGTAAGCTGTATCTTGTGAACGAACTGTAGAAAGCTGGACAGTGGAATCACACCTACATGAGCTAGTCCTGTTAATCACCATAACGGTTGTGCTTTCTTCACAGGGAGGAAAAGTAGGGGACTCAGCAGAATCTAGCAATGCAATATGGTGGGCAGAAAAACCTTGGAAGTACAATATGGTGGAGAAGAAACAAACCAACAAACGCTACATGCAACATAGAAGACCAAAACAACTAAATGATGTAATGACTTACCTTACATCATTTAATTCATAATAGACATTTCTGCTTTCATCTTTGATGTAAATGGCAACGCTGGGCGACTCCAGCATTTTCATGGTGAGCTGCTGGGGAAAGGCACTTACAAAGAGGGCACGGATCGTGTCTGTACTTGTGATTTCGTTCGGCATCCTGAGCTGTTTGGTTTCATCTCCGTACTGGAGATAGAGAACTCCTACAGGCAGAAGGGACAGGTATCAGCCACAGACCAAGACCCTCAGGACACAGTGGGTAAACTAAGGCACATCCATCTTCACTCGTAAATGTTTAGGAAAAGCTTGAAAAGCATGTATCGAGGCATGTGTACATTTAGATTTTTAAAGAAATGTATTATATAGTTATTGCATAAGAACTCACTTTTATTCTTTGGAGTTCAGGTAGGTATTAAAGAGCCTAATTTTGCACTATTTTAAAACCAAAAGGACAAGGAGCTAATAACCTCTGATAGCCTAAGGCAAAAGGCAACACTTAATTCCCTTGGAAGGTATATTTAGGACTCTGACTCTGTAGGATTTTTTTTTGTGTGTCTTTCATTAACTAGGAACACAATCATTATAGCAATAGGTAAGCTATAGAGCTTAATTCTTTGTAGTCCATTCAGAAACATTTTAGGTGGAAATGCTACCATATTCCTATGGTTTTAATAGGTAGCTACTATGTTCATATCATATTAAACTATCTGGGAGAAGAGTCTGGCACCCCAATATTTCAGAAATAAAGTGGTATAAGAGAATAACTCACACACAAAAAACGCAAGCACCGAATCACAGAATGGCAGTGTGGCAAGGGGTCTGTGGTCCCTGGTGAACCACATTTCTTCATGTTTCACGGCCCAGTAAAGTACAGTCCCTTCCACATTGATTCTGGGCTTGGCCATGTGATTTGCATTGGCCATTGGGAAATTAACAAGTGTGATACAAAAGGAGGATGTGATGCTCACTTGCACACTGAAGTCTGTCCTCTTGGTGAGCTGGCTCTTGGGATGTTCCCTTTTGGAACCTAGCTTTGAGGACTTGAGCCTAGGCACGCAGCGAGGCCACATGAGGAGGGGCCAAAGCTCTGTCCGACTGCTCCGGCTATGCACCCATCCCATGCCCGAACCACTGGTTGATCATGTGAATGAGAGTGGACTCCTCAGCCCCAGGTAGCTGTCCCAGCTGATGCCATATAGAAACAAGATGCCCCTCCAAACACAGCTAAAATTGCAGAATTGAGCCAATAAATGATTGGAGTTGTTTCAAGCCACCGTGTCTTTGGCCATTTTTTTTTTGGAACGGGGACTGAACTTGGGACCTTGCACTTGGAAAGTAGGCAGCGGAACCACTGAGCTCAATCCCTGGTCTTTGGCCATGTTTTATTTGGAAATAGACAACTGAAACTGGAAATCTAAGATGCTCCACTGAATGTGAATCTGACTCTCAGTGAGAATCCAGTGTGGGTGGACAGCCACTCCTAGAATAAGCTCTACCAGGGGAGACTAAAAAGACACTACAGTGACTTCTGGCTAAATACGGCAGCTCATATACCAAATTTATCTACTTCTATAAATTCCATTAAAATGATAATGAAGAATTTAAAACAGCATAAATCAAAGAACCAAAATAATGAGAGAAACAGCAGATGACAGAAAGCTGACACCCAAATCTTCAAGGGAAGAGCTCAACATAAAGCATATAGGGCCAGAGAAGCTCAGGAAGTGAGGCACCGGATCCTTCCGAAAATAGGAATGCAGAGTGAGTTGAAAGCATGAGGCCTGACTGAAGTTTCTTTTTTCCCAGTGGTGTAGCAAGATGTCCTTTCTCTTCCTTTCCACCCCACCCAGCCAAGGACCTCCTTGATCCATGCACATTAGAGGAGACTGAAGCGCTCCGGTCAAAGGTTCGATTCTGGCGGACCAGACATAGGGGGAAAGGCTCACAGGATGCTGGCACCGGGGCTGCCTTCTCAGTCTGGAAACTGGAGAAGCCCCTGAGGAAGCTGCCTGGGGCAGGAGAAGGTGATGTTCAGATTTTGTCTGTTCACCCCGTCGTGAAACAGCCACCCACCCGACCTGGGTCACCATACATAGAAGCTTCCCATGGGTAGGACCTCATCTCACGCACACATTAATTGGTTCATTTTATAAAAGCCTCTATCATGAAAGAAAATACCCAAACAGGAGACAGAGACTCAGAAGAGATGAGACAGGCTGGGACAGGATAACATTTGGAGAGCAACAGTGAGCTCTGAGAACCACATAACAGGAATGTAAAGTTCAGTGCAGAAAACGTCAATGAAACCCCAGAAATTGAAGGACAGCAATAAGAAAACTAGAGAATGAAGTCAGAGCATCGGCATTCTTTTTTCTTTTTTTTTTTTTTTGGTACTGGGGATCAAACTCAGGTCCTTGTGCTTGCACGGCAGGCGGCGAAACCACTGAGCTAAATCCCCAGCCCGAGCATCTGCTTTCTTAGTGAAGCGGATTTGGATAGAAGAGACCAAGAAAAAGAGAGTTTTCCAAAAAATGTAAGAATTTTCTTTTGCTCCCTGAAACTGAAGTACATAAGAGTGCAGATGGAAAAGGTCCATGAAACGCCTGACACATTCAGGCTGTCACTGAGACACTGCAAAAGGACAAGGGAAAAGCAGAAGTTCCTAAAACCTCCCCAAGACCGGGGAGGTGGTGGAGTCCCTCGGAAAGGGATAGGCAGCAAGGAGGCCTTTGCGTTCTCAACAGCAACTGGACACCAAAGGACAGTGGAGCAACAGCTCTTAAAATCTCAGGTGGGAGGTGGGGTGCGCTTCCGTCCTGTGTGTGGCCATTCCAACAACTGCGTAGGTGTCTGTTAGGCCAGCCCCCAGGTGAGGGCTGCCCTGGCTACTGTGCCTAAGATTTCAGCACCCCTCTGCCTATATTTCACAACTCATATCCTTACTTTACTTCAGTTCCTTAGCATTTTGCACCACATGCTTTATAATTCCTACCTTAATTACTGGTATTGTTTACTGTCAGTGTTTCTTGCTAGAATGTCAGTTTTATGAGATCAAGGATTTTTCAAAAAAATGCATTTGCTTGTTCTTCATATCTATGATAGTATATAATACGTTCTCAATAAACACTTGTTGAATGAATAAATACATTATTTGTAAGTCATCTGGAAGGCATCTCACGTGTCAGAGCCGGAAGAGCTTCTGCTAGATGATGTAAACAGCCCGGTAGCCTCATTGCTACTTGTATACTCGTTAGAAATGCATTCTGGGTGGCTGTTTCAAAGAGCAGAGTAGCTCTTTTGCATCCTCATAAGTAACTCCCCACTCGCCCCAGTTTTGACCTTCAGCTTCCTCCTGAAGCAAGTTTTCCAGAATGTCCATGTGGTTACATGTTGCTCCGATTGAAAGAAAAATCTTTCAAGCCTGCACGATCACAGATTGTGCAATATTTTCCCCCAAATGGGAGGCATGGTGACCGTCCCGGGGGATTGCTAATGCCACATTGAAAGGCCAAAGCCGCTCTTGGGGCCTGGGCCTGACCAGGCCTACGGCGAGGCCACTGCAGACATCCACTTCTGGCCACGTTCCAGGTCAGCATCAGTCTCTCTCCCCTAAAGGGCCTGGGTTTTATGCCCACATCTGCCTTCTGTACGTGTGTGTGCTTGAAATAGAATCTGTAGCCTTTGGAGTTGGAAAAAATAGAACTGGGCCTAAAACTCCAGTTACCTCAGGTCTGGCAGCTGGGAACACAGTCCAGTTACAGAACAGGAACATTCGGAGAGGGTGGGAAAGATGCCTTTACAGAGAAGTCTTTTGCACTGGATTCGGGAAAGGTATTCAGAAATGCTGACGCCCAGAAGGGACTCTCTTACTGCGCAAGGGCGTCCCGTTGGCACAGGGATGAGCCAGAGCCCACGTGGTCTGGAGGGCAGCATTTCTGGCACATGTGAGTGCTGGCTGCTCTGGATTCACAGGGGTCCCAGGGACTTCCGGTCAGAATTCCCCTTCCTCTAAGTCGGGGAAGAGGACACTGGGAATGCATTTACAGGACGCCTGTGGCACATGAGAAACAGCGAGCACTTCAGTAGGACAGCAGGCCTTGTCAGGGTCTCACCATGGTCCCATTTCACACAAGGGAAGCAGAAACTCACGCGTCCAAGTGACTCGCTCGGCCACCATCTTCTCTACCCATCCTCTCAGCGTGGCCCTGTTGTCCCCTCACACTGTGAGGGGCGATGGGACGGGCAGTCCAGGAGAAGGACTCTTCTTTTTCCCAGCTGCAGGGAGTGCAAGCGCACGGCTGGAACCAATCTGCAGGGCTCTGGGGAGTCAGAGAGCTCTGAAGGCCATGCCGGAGCTCTGAGGTGACCCTCCAAGGAGGCTGAGCACACAAGAGCGCTTGGGCCCCAACGGTTCGGCTCGGCAAAGCCAAGGCCTCTTGGCTTTGAAATTTTAAAACAAAGCACACTGGCTTAAAACAAAGGACACATGCTTGGGCCCCGTAGGAGGTGTGATCAAAATATACAGTGAGAGGTGAAGGAGGGGAGAGGAAGGGCAGGTAAAAAGAACTGAGATGTGTTATGTCCGTGTACCAACTGCCTGTGATGGAGGTGACCGTTACGTACAGCAAACACACTAATGAAAAGCTTCAAAATTAAAATTTATGCTGAGTTTAAATAAAAAAATTATTACAGTAAAAGACACATTCCCACCCACTGCTTTGGGCACACTTATCCCATCATTCTGGTCACTTTCTGAAGTAGTTCTGGAAGTCTTCTTTCGTGAGTGTCTTTATGAACGGTGAGAAAAGATACACAAATGCTGTTGCCACGTGTCACCGAACAAAGGCAGGCGAGCCCATAAACACAGCACGTGCGTCCTCATCCATTTCATTCACGGGACCTGGCACCCTGAGACTTCCGGCTCTCCCTCAGAGTCAAAGTGAAAGGTCAACGTCTTGAATCAACACAGGATTTGCAGCAGCCAGGACAGCGCAACTCAGACACTCACCAGAGGACTTCCAGGGCCGCTTCAGAAAGCGGCAGTAATGACGGGACAAGTGTGCTCCAAGTGAGGAGAGGATTCTGACTGGGATCAATGGTGATGTGTCTGCTGCATAATCAGATATTAAAAATGTAAACATTCACCATATCTTCTGATCACACTGTACATCTTCATTATCTCATGAATTTTAGAATCAGTTCT